GGAGAGCAGGGGTTGTGGGTCGGGAGTGAGGGGCACCGGCGGGGCTGAGTGTGGGGGGCACAGGGCTGGGAGAGCAGGGGCTGCGGGTCGGGAGTGAGGGGCACCGGCGGGGCTGGGTGTGGGGGGCTGTGGCTCACTGCTTAGCTGCATGTGGAGAAGCCGGTGGGATCACCGTTAACCATTTCACTGCTGGTCGGAGGATACGGGACGGGGGCTGGCAGATCCTCTTGCCCACGCTATGTGGGGCAGAGCTCCGTGGCATCACCGGCGGGTGGGGGGACACGGCTGCATCCTGGCCGAGCGGAGGGTGAGCCCAGCACCCCGGCCCCTGCCCGCCCTGTGCTCCCGAAGGGCCTGTCCCGGCCGTGGGCGTGGGGCACCTACCAGACCGCGCTGGCGATGCCCAGAACCACGGCCAGGATGACGAACGCGAAGATCCCGAGCGAGATCAGGATGGCCACCTTCTCCATGGGGTCGCTGCGATCTGCGGGGACGGACAGACGGACGTCACTGCCAGGGGCTGCCAGGGCACCCCCCCGGCTCCACCACACCACGCGGCGAGGACCAGGCAGGCGGGTGAGCGCCACCCCCTCCTGCCCCTGCCGCGTTCAGCACAGGCCCAGGAGCACCCCCTTGCCAGCGGCCGGGCGGTTCATCCGTGCCATGCTGACTGGCGTTCATTCTGCCAAGCCAGGCTGCCCCATTGCGAACCTCGGCTCCCCACAGCTCCCTCTGCCCTGGGCAGCTCCTCACCCCTCAGACCCCGGGTGCTCCTGCCCTCACCCAACCTCTCCCCACCCCAGGCTCTCGCCTACCTTAACTCCCCCAAGGCCCACCTGGCTGCCAGGCTGCCCCCGCCATGTCCTCTGCGGGGCGCGGGGCAGGGAGGGGACAGAGGCCAGGGGCTGGTGGGCCCAGCGGGGGTGAGGTGGGTGCAGCCGGTGGGGAGCTGGGTCCCCGCAGCGTGGAGCTGGGCTAGCCCCATGGCACCCAGAGAAGGGGACCAGTCTGTACGCTGGCTCTGGGGCTGCCCCCAGGCATCTCAATCTATGCGGGGCAGGTGTGGGCACGGTGCCCTGCCAGGCACAGGGGGGCCTTGCTCCCACCCGCCAGGGTGCCAGGCGCTGCCCGCTGCACTGGCTGGGCCGGGATCTCGCGCTCGCAGCCGCCCGCCTCCACCACGGGCCCCAGTCGCCTTCCCTGGCTCCCCTGCCAGCACCGCCAAGGGGCCGCTTACCCACGGGCTCAGGGTTGGGGGCCAGCGAGGGCTCCTCGGCCGGGCTCTCCAGGCTGGCGTCGGTGGTGGCTTCATCGCCTGGCGTCACGGTCAGGCCTGCAATTGAGGGCAGGAGAGAAGCCGGTTACGTGGGGCAGGGGCCACATCCAGTGCCACAGGGAGAGCGGGGCAGGGGCCGCGCCAGGCTGGAGGGAGAACAGGGCGGGGGCTGCAAGACCTTCACAGTGAGAAGTGCTGGCCCAGGGCAAGCTCAGGGGATGGGCCCCTGGCAGAGTCCCCAGAGGTGCTTTCCTGCCCCGTCCCCGCAGCCCTGGCCCGGCCACCCCTCTTCACCTGGCCCCGGCCCGGCCGCCCCCCTCACCTGGCCCGGCCACCCCTCCTCACCTGGCCCGGCTGCCCCTCCTCACCTGGCCCTGGCCTGGCTGCTCCGCCTCACCTGGCCCGACTGCCCCTCCTCACCTGGTCCTGGCCCGGCTGCCCCTCCTCACCTGGCCCTGGGCGCCCCGACCGCCCCTCCTCACCTGGCCCTTGCCTGTCTACCCCTCCTCACCTGGCCCGGGTGTGGCCCGCGCCTCGGCACTCCACTCGCTCCAGTTGCCGGCGTCCAGGAAGTCCTTGGCACCGACCTGCACCACGTGCTCCAGGCCGGAGAAGGCGTCGGTGATGACTTCAGAGAGGTTCACGGTCTCCACCTAGGTGGGGAGCGGGCAGAGGCTGGGACGTGAGGCCAGCCAGGCACGGGCCCCCCCGCTCGCCCCCTCCCAAATCCCCTCGGCACTCACCATGGACCAGGAGCCGTGCGCAACGGGCCGGTACTGGAGCCGGAACTTCAGCTGGAAGTGGGGCTCCTTGGGCCAGGAGGCCGGGTACTGCCAGCGGACCCGCAGCCGCCGCGGGGCCGACGGGACCGGCTCCACCACCAGGCCTTCCGGAGGGTCCGGCTTAACTGGACGGGGACAGACATGGGTGTGACGTTATGAGTGTGATATATCTCATTGCAAGGTGACAGGGCCAGAAAGAGTTAATTAACTCACAGACTGACCTGACCCATGGCCCAACTTTAGAGACTGGTTAGGAAGATCTGTAAATGAACAGAGCTTTGAAATGCAGCCGGCATTGTTAGAGATAGAAGGGGAGATGTTTGCTCAGGTCTTGTGATGTCAGCAAACAAGTCTTGTCTATTGCTATAGCTTTGATTCAAAGATCAAAAAAAGGAATATTAACATTTAGGAAAAATGCTCCAATACGTCTGTTAGTCTTTAAGATGCCACAGGACTCTTTGTTGCTTTTTACAGATCCAGACTAACACGGCTCCCCCCTCTGATACTTAATATTTAGGAAGACACTTGAGGGAAATAGTATTATTGTCTCTATGTCTCTTTGAAGGTTGTGGTAATCTGTAGCTGAACTGTTTAATGGATAAATTACCCTGTGCTAATTGCC